ATATGACATTTCTTAACCCTCCAGCAGTGGACCTTCCTTTTTTTTCTCCAGGAGTGTGGTAAAAAACTCTAGATCACCTATTTGGATTCTTATTACCCAAGTTACTAAGAATATTACCAGTGGCATACAGGGAGCTTAACCAATCAGCAGTCAGAAAAGGTGTTTCCTCTGCAGTTCACACCAATTGCTGGTTTGGCCCCTGCCCAGGCCTAACGCCTCTGGAGAGTCATTAGCCCTGGGCCAGGGCACCCTCAGCTCCAAGCCACCGTGGCCATCAAGGATCGCTGGCTGGCTGTGCCCCGGTTCGGGCCGCCGCCACCACCATCAAGGATCACTGGCTGGCTCCTCCCTGGCCCAAGCCTAAAGCCTCAGGCCGAGGTTGTAGGCCTGGGCCGGGGCACCCCCAGTTCCCGCCGCAGCTGATCGCTGGATGGCTCCTCCCCTGCCTAGGCCTAAAGCCTCAGGCCGAGGTTTTAGGCCTGGGCCGGGGCACCCCCAGCTCCCACCGCAGCAGCCGCTGCGGAAGATCGCTGGCTGGCTCCTCCCTTACCCAGGCCTAAAGCCTCAGTCTGTGGCTTGGAGCTGACATATGCAAATTAGCCGCCATCTTGGTTGTCAGTTAATTTGCATATACTCATTTATTAGCCAATGAAAAGGGTAGTGGTCGTACGCTAATTACCATGTTTCTCTTTTATTAGTGTAGATAAGCATACTAGTATGATAATACTTAAAGAGTCATCATCTGGTAAATCAGAGGGGAAAAACAAACTTTATGAACTCATTTCTGCACAATGCAGCCCCTCTGAATATCTAAATATCAGGCAGGCTCTAACTATCTAATTATTGTGTTCTGATTAAGAGCTGCTGTTTAATCACAGTGGGTTGTCAGTGCTCAGAAAATTAAAAACAACAGGTTTGCAGTATAAAACACCACGGAAGAGAACTCTACTTGATTTCTTGAGTCAATGAATGTAAAGATATAATTATTCTCTTGACTCTAAGTTTCCAATAATGTCTTTCTGTACTGGCCAGAGACTCTCCACATGATAAGAGTCTCTAATCCAATGTGTGTGTGCTGACAGGTTGTTTAAAGTTTCCTTTAACAAAAACACACGGAGCTCAGTGTGTGAGGAGGGATGGAAACAGTTCGACACTTTCAATTTTGTGCCTGAAGTGTAAAAAGCTCTGCCTCCCCTGATGTCAGCCACATGATAACTTCCAAAGTCCGAGAGTAAATGCCCTCTCTGGTGGTAGGAAAACACT